ATGTCTGTGGTTGATGAGTACCAAGAGAGCAAAGAAGGGACGAGATTGTCAAAGCGTTAAAACACGCCAACGCAAGGGAACGGCTGGCATCGTCCGGGCGTTAAAACACGCCCGCGCCAGTCAAAGAGTTAACTATTATGGTACTACAGACAAGTGAAATATTGTACATTCAAAACATGCTGCATAATAAAACTTGCAACAACCTTCACATGGCTCAGCATCCCTTCCTCAGTTTAGGCTACATGCTCCACAACTGCCAAATACAATTCCACCCAATGACATGCTAATTTCAGTGAACACTGAGAGCGCCAGAAGCACATGCACAGTTTCAAATTACACACACCCTGGTTTTCAAAGCACGAAATTAAGAAAACCCAAAATAAGTTCAGAAGCTGAGAGAGGAGGCATAAAGCAAGAAATTGTGCATATAACTTATAAAATTACAATGCATATTCAAGTAAATATGGCAGTAGTTTGCAAGGCTGTACTTACAAGAATTTGTTGTTCAGTCTTAACATCCTTTCCATGAAGATCCCACATAGAGGAAGGGGGAAGCTGACCAGGAGGGGCAGCAGGTATCTGACCCAACCAGCCTGGTGTTGTAAATGCTGCAGCAGCGGCTGCGGCGGCAGCAGCAGCAGATGTAGCACCGGGTGTCATATTACCTCCCCATACAGACTCCAGCTGTTGGCAAAATCACTTCCCATTTTATTTCCACTTTACTTTCTCTGTCCACAGTAATATGAAGCCTTTTGTAGATGAAACAGAATTCAGCTAACACAATTTTGTTAAAAGCCTTCAACATTCAATTTTCTTTAAAAAAAAATATTCAACTGGAGCAAAACAGCTACATTAATTAGGAAATACTGCAGGGCATGACTCCAGAAATACAACTGAAATCTACTAGCAACTGAACAAAATTTACTTGTTCACATTTTCACACTGCACAACTGAGGCGTCTTGACCTGACAAAGACATCAACTATACTGAAAAAAACATGGTCATTGTGGAAATTGTGAGTTCAAGCTTTCTAATGGGAACTGAACATTCCAAAACCATCTGTCTACCATATAATTGTGTTTCAGACTAAGCTTAAAAATGTGCTTGCCACTGGCCTCTGTTGACTTCCCTGTAGCAATACTTCTTGAAATCCACATCAGACACTACAAAATTCATGAAATTTATCACCCCATCACATGCGGTGATAAGACATACACATAAACAGTTTCAGAAAAATTTTGTGCCAGGTAAGAACACTGCAATGTATGACTCAACTGCTGGGTTCAAGAGCAAAATAATTTTCAAAACCTACTGTAATGGATTTGCCAGGCAAAAGCTCTGTAAACATGGTCCCACATGTAACAGTAGAGGAACCTGTGTTTTCTGTAGATCTGACTGACATGCCAATTGACTGGCTGAATAGCAATATGTGATATGTGTTTACTGTAGGTCCAAGTATATCCCGTGACTATATAAGAGTGACAGAATTCGCTCAAGGCAGTTATGAATCAGTTGTTAGCTGGAGGAGTGAGCCCAGAAGAATTTTTAGTGCCGAGGTTCCAGAGTGACTGAAGATGAAATAGCAAGAAGACTTCATAGTGATTTGAAGTGATAATTTCTGTGTTGAGATCCACTGCCAGGAAATGACTAGTGGAAAATGAGAATTCTAGTGCATGTGAAACAGTGGGCTGGAAAGTGTGTAAATAGTGTGGGTGCTATAATTATGTGTAGTTACTGGTGGTGGGTATCAGGAGTAAATAACCCATTCATCCACTCCAGAACCTGCATTACTGGTCACTAATACATGTGACATAATTCAAAAAGAAAAAACAACCAAGTGGGGAATCAGATTATTTGTATTAGCTGACAGTGACACTCGTTATGTTCACAGTATAATTCCAAATTATGGAAAACTTACAGGTGACATGTGTAACATGTCCTACTCTGAAAAACCATTCATTTCAAGAATAGTTCTTTCCTTGATGGAGAGCCTATGGGCAAGAATGTCTGGTATTGAAGACTTCCACCTTTTCACTGACATATGATAACAGTGCTGAGCTGGGCCATGAATTGGATAATTGAAAATGCAACTACAGTGTCTGCTTTTAACTTTATGCCCTTGCTGTACCAACTTTTTGGGCAAAACACTTCACTTAGTGGCTCAACAGGCATTTAGAAACTGTCATCCTGACTGGAAATTTTTTTCAAATGTGCCAACCAGAAAGGGTTAAATCTGTCAACTCAGGACAATGGTTTGGCTACAGGCCAGCCAATCAGGGAGCTGTATTCCCAGTAGGGGCAGACTTCTCTATTGTCCACAGGGACCAGAGTGGCTCTGTGGCTCACTCAGCCTTCTATCTGATGGGTATTAGTGTTCTCTCACTGGGAATAAAGCAGCCATGATGACTTATCTTAATCCAGTGCTGAGGTCAATACACATCAACCTATACATTCACTCTTCATAGTGTGATGCTTATTACACACAGGAACAATTAACCTACTTGTATATTAGTAACAAAGTCTTGCAGAGTTGTCATGTTTGTAATGGTTAATTTATAAACAATGTTTCATACATTATGTGTACATATGTTTATGATCTATACCAATAACAAATTTAACATCTGCATCTCCAGTATTTCACTGTTATTGAACTGAAAGTGAAAAAAAAAAAGGTCTTGCACAGCCATCATATTATCAGTTGTTATTCTACAAAAGAAATTACCTTAACAAAAATAGCTATTTCCATGACCTATTACCATACATCATTGCGGGACCCTAAGTTACATGGTGCTAGTGTTGCTTCCACCTTCCAAGTCTGGGCATCTGCTATGCTGTTACTACTGACTGTAAAAATTTAAAAAGTTGGAATGGTCTGCAATAGCAATATTTATACCAAGTTATGTGAAAATCAGCTGGTTTAAAAGCAGATATGTGGACACAAACACACAGATGGAATCACTGCCCTAACAGTCTTCTCCTTAAGGAAGGGAAGGCAGCTAAAAAGCAAAGATGTCCTTCTGCCTAAGCATTATGCCATGGAGGTGTATATGGATGTGGAAGTAATACCTCACATGTTCTGGATCTTTGCACTTGATGCAGATAAATGGCTAGCCTCACACTCAAGACGTACGACTTCCAGAATCAATTTGATGGGACAGGTAGCGGAACTGCATTGTACGTGGTGGCAAAGAAAATATCCCTTCCTGCTAGGAGCTGAATCCCAGTTGACCACCCCACAGTGAATTAATTTACTGAGTCCATAACACTATACTTTATTATAAACTCAGATTAGTAGTTGAAAACATACCTGAGGTTTGGAAGCTTTGGTTCCCAGTTGCCTTATAAACATCTGAATAGGATTGGATTCATTGTCTGATTTATTTACAGTAGTATTTGGTACTGAAAGGGGCTGAGAATGCAGAAGACTCTGGTGTCCTGTACTGGCAGGTAGCTGCTGCAGACCACCCATCTGTTGTATCAGCTGCTGCAGTGGCTCCAGTGCTGGGGTTTGAGTTTGTGCAGGAGGGTGTTGACTGTCAGGCATGGAAGTAGTTGGCACTTTAGGCTGCAACACAGTATCAGGCAAAGGTAGAAAGATGCTTCTGAGAAGCAGTCCATGCAACAAATTTACTTTGCTTTGTAAACAGCTGTTCTAATTGCCTGCAGCAATTTACTAATACCCTGAACATATCCAGCAGAAATACTTTCTTCTTCTTCTTTTTTTTTTGGTATTTTAACAGTAGGAATGCTTTACAGATCTGATCCATGTGGGGGATGCAGAGTACGTCAAAAATGAAGTAATGCTTCCATTTATTAGTTAACTTAGCATACGCACAGGATGAAGTTCAAGAACAATATGTTGATACTGACTCAGATGAGATAAGGTGATACTCCACTTGAAGATCCAGCGTCTTCCAAAGAAAATGACAAAGATTTAGTGCACTGTCACAAGCTTCTCTCTGATAAGACAGATGTGCAACAGTTTATGAGAATAAAATGAGCTAAACAAAGGTGACACTCCCAATATTTCCAAAAATTCACGAGCTCTCAACTTCTTTTTTCTTATTTCCAAGCCATTCCACCTGTCACTATTCAAGAGGCCAACTGCTATCAAAGAGCATACAACCCACACTGATTAGATGGATCGGAATGCCAGGAAGCTGGGCAGCTATAGCATAAGCAAAAGAGCCTGAGAAGGGAAGGAAAAATTACATTTCCATTAATTTGACCTCACAGTGAATCCATACAAGTCCTGTGAGGGAAGTACGACCCATTCAAAAATTTTGGGGGCAGCTGGTTAGTGATCTCATTGTACTCTTATGAAATGCATGCTGAAGTGTGTGGTATGTTACAGGGCCTACACAGCAGTTCAGAGATTATAGTCAGCCAACCTGCAGTAACACATTCCTTGCACTGGCCAGCCGAAAGAGAAGAGCACTGTTGTTATTTGCCAAATGGAAAAGCAAATACTACTGCATGATGTGTATCCATGCTCAATATAATATGCCGTGAACTGAGCTGTGGCACACTGGAACCCAAATGTGACTGTGACACTGTACTGAGTCTGATACTGTTGAATGTATGATGTGACCTACACAATGAAATGGGATACTTCTTCAGTCTCATGGAGTGTGGTGTGGTAACACTGCATCAGTGAAGTTCTACCATCCACTCGGTATTATAAGTTGTCCCTGTGCTTAACTAATTAAGCACTATGCCAAGAGGAGTATGGGGGAGTGGATGTATAGAGCCAAATTTTCTTGACCTTGGCACTACTTGGAGGTGAGTGGTTAGCTTCACGCTCCAGCCGCTGTACCTTCAGGGAAAGAGCGCACTGTACCCATTGGATAGGAGGCTGGGTGGGTCCCAGGGCCATTTTGGATGACATCAAGAGAAAATTCTTGACCCTACCAGGACTTGAACTCCGACTCCTCGGTCATCCAGCCCGTTGCCAGTCGCTATCCCGGCTCCCCACTCAGTATTATACAAGTCATAATCAGGGATGAATGTGGGATATGGGACAGAACTGTGAGAGTGACTAGGCCAGACATAAAAAAAGGATAATTTATTTGTTATGCAAGTATTCATGTTGGTGCCTCCATACTCAGGGAAGAAATGAGTCAATGTGAGAAAGGGACAAGTTATATGGAGGAAGTGGGAAGACCTAAGTCTCAGAAAGAGGTCTGGCCACTTGAAGGAGAAGAGGCCTTGTATGTCCTGAAAAGGGCATCATACCTTCAGAAGCAGCTATAGAAATGCTCTTACAAGGACAACAGGCATAGGAAAGCAAAGTCAATTTTCATCTGTCCACAGATTATATAGGACCCACTTGCAGTTGCTCTTTTTAGGACCTATGGTTTCCTGTGACCCTTCACGGGCACTGCATCCTCTTCCCTGACTGGAAATTTCTCCAGTTTTCTATGACCTGGTTCCCACACCTCTCCTATTTAATCTGACCAGTTCCCAACTTGGCATACTTCTACCATGAAGATAGCAGCGAGTCTCTGGGTTAATATTTGAACCTATGACATCCTGACCATGAAGAACATTCAGTTTTATATAAGTTGGCAATAGAAAGAAGAATATCAGCTGAGTCTACATTATATTTGATTCTTAACAAAACAAAGTTTCTAGCAGCTACCAGTGCTGAAGTGTTCAAAACTCAGCACCTTACCTGATGCAGCTGACTAAGGAGATGCAAGACTGGGGCTTTGTGCATGTGTGCAGCCATCTGTTGCATGAATGGATCCACAGGCTGCTGTGTTATTGGCTGACTAAGCATTTGCTGCATAATTAGCTGTGAATTAAAGACACCATATTATTATGCCTTGTAACCTACCATTAAATTCAGTAGTTTAGTAAACCTTGCATGAGAAAATAACAATTTAATATCCTATACAGGGACAATAAGTACATACAAATTTGGTGGGGAATCATCATGGAAAACTGTGTTTGGAAAACCTGAAGAGGAGACAATTACATTACAATGGATCTTACAGAAATACGGTGTGAGAGGGGCAGATGGATGAACTGGTTCAGGATCATGTCCAAGGGTGGGTTTTGCTAATGACACTGAAACGTTAGGATTTAGTATGAAAGAGTTGGTCAATGGTAACGTGCAGTCTGGAATGCCAAAGATGTCAGGTGCGGCCAGATTCAGAACCTCAACCATCTTTTGTGAAAGTCAGAATTTCAAGAATATAGTGAATACAATACATCTACTGTGGTCAGGAGTCTATTTCAAACTGTAAGGCCACACTGGCATATTGTTACAACCGTGAACATAACGCACATGCTGGAATAATCCTAAACACATCTGATTTTGAAGAATTCTGTCTTCTGGGATATAACATGGTGTAACCTGCCAAGTCAATTAGCTTTCCTGTTTGGTTTATTCTTAACCCTGAAGACGAAAGAGACATGTTCCTCCAAAACACTGTTTGACTTTCAACAGGCTACATGGCATTATATCACAGAAGACAGAACTCTTCATAACTGCTGCTGTGGGAGCCACAGCCCTGCAAGTCACTGGAGGCGATAAAAGGGGTATAACTGGGCCACCCTGTTCCTGGGGGATATAAATACATGGACCTGGCCCTCCAGGTTGGGGGAGTCTCAAATCTGAGTAGTAAAATGTGGTCATGAGTCCTGCAGGACTCCAAACTGAGAATGACTGTGCTGGTGAGGACCAGCAGCAATTGTAAACAATAGAACCATCTTCTCGTCAGCAACGGTGTGATATAAGGACTATAACTTAAGTGTTCAGGTGGAAAACAAAATTACTGGTCGTGAGTCTCAAGGGGCTTGTCGCCAAGATGGAACTGACTGGCAGTAAACCACCAGCCATAAAGTAACTCTGACTCTGTCTGACTCAAATTCCACATTTGGTTTAGTTCATTAAATTTAATTTTGTCATGTCAACTGAACATGTACACATTTGCATCTTTCTATAGACAATGTACAAGGTGGAGGGTTTATTACTCAGCTGGGTATTTCTTCAGCCTGTTCATAATGAGAAGTTGCAGAAATGGTAATTAGCTCCACCAGGTGTCTGTCTGCCATGATGTAACACTCTAAGAACCATTGCACAGGCTTCACTAAAATCTGATATCAGGATGTCTGAACTCTGTCAAATTCTAATTTTAGTTAAAACTTACAAAATTTTCACAAAGCCATCTGCAAGTTTCTACATACTTCTTGAGCATATTCAGTAATTCAATAATACTACATAATAAGCAAATATTAAGCAAGAAGTGTTCTGAACAAAAGCTTTTGGTAAAGATAAAGTTGTCTTTGCGCTTATCTATGTAGGGGTGGTGATAAGTCTTTGGCTTTTCCTATTTCACCTACTTTTATCACATCAAAGTCTATTGTTTTGTATATGTCTGAGCTAAATTTCATAATTGTAGCCTGATTATTTAATGTTTGTTGCTGATCTGAAGTGAAAATTGCGCACAACAATGGAGATTTCACTGCAAAAAGAGTGGCAAGCAATGATTAAATAGCTTTTCCTAAAAGGGAACTCAGCCAAAAGAATTTATAGTATGTCAGTTACATAAGTTGGTAAGTGCCCTTTCTACTCCACAGTGAAGAACAAGGTTGCCAGGTTCAGAACAGGACATTTGAGTACTGAAGACAAAGCTAGCAGGGACCCTGGCGATATCCCGAGAAAAAGTAGGCTATATTAACGAGATTTTAGAGATGAGAAAGCTCTCAGCCAAATGGGTTCCCAAATGTCTCAATGCTGTTCATTAGCATGACTGAGTGTTCACTTCAAAAGGCATTTGGGACCGATTTCGGTGGGATCCCGTGGAATTTTTTAACCATCTAGCAACTATGGATGAAACTTGAATCCATATATACGATCCAGAGACCAAAGAACAATTCAAGGTATGAAGACGCAGTGGTTCCCCATGTCCAAAAAAACTTCAAGACACAGAAGTCATCAAAGCAAGGTGCTGGAGTCTGTTTTCTGGGATAAAAAAGGAATTTTGTTTGTAGACTACCTGGAAAAGGGTGCAACCATCAAGGCAAAGTATTATGTTGCACTTTATGACAAAATGAAGCAGCAACTGGTCTCCAAACATCAAGGCAAGCTTTTGAAAGGAATCTTGTTTCTTCAAGACAATGCTGCTCCTCACAAGGCGACCATTATGATCCACAAGTTGGCAGATCTTCACTCTGATGTTCTGAAACACCCTGCCTATTCACCAGATTTGGCCTCTTCGGACTAGTGACTCTTTCCTAACCTCAAGAAACGAAAGTTTTTGAGCACTGAGGCCACTTTAGCTGCAGACGAGTGGCTTGCAGCACAACCAAAAGAGTTTTTCTTGGATAGACTGAAGAAGGGGGGGAATGTGGCAGTGCAGTTGGTTGAGACACTAGGCTACAAGCCGGAAGGTCACAGGTTGAAGTCCCGATGAGGTCATTGGATTTTTTCAATTGGCCTAATCCTTCAAGCCACACTATGACCCTGGGGTCGATTCAGACTCTAACAGAAATGAATACCAGAAATTAAATAATTTTCCTGGGGAGTAAAGAGCGGCTGGCGTGTAAGGCTAACAACCTTACCGCCATCTTTGAGCTGATTGTCTAGATAATGTGGGACCCTCAACATCTCACAACCCTAGGGGCCTTCACGGCCTGTTATAGGGATAACTTTACTTTACTTTTTTTTTATTTTAGGTTGAAGTTAGAACAATGAAGTCATAAGTGTGAGGAGCTCAGGGGAGAAAATGTAGAGTAAATACATTTTCTCAGTCCTATAGATTGCTGTTTTCTTTATAAAGACAAGGACTTATCAGCACCCCCTTGTAATTAAGCCCTATGCCATGAAGACATATGGGGGAGTGGATGTATAGATCCACATGTTCTTGATCTCAGAACTAGCTGGTGAACAAAGGTGTATAGAAAAGTGAATTTTACAACCAATACGCTGTATCCATAAGCCTTAAGGTTCGTGGAATAATTAACAAAAATGAGCAAATGCACCAAAACTGTTATGCTTTCTGTACATTTACAAACTTGTGAATTTTAAGATTTTAACACAAGTTGCATGTGAGATGGTCAATAAGAAGTGATAATAAGTGACATGCAACAGGATGCCGCAGTACAACATTGTTTTTTTCATCAGTAATCTGTCATACGACAGGTCCACAGTCTCTTCCAAAACCACATTTGTTATGTAGCTGAATTATTTCTTCTAGGATGGTGAAGTCGGTACAGTGACTGTCTACAGGCTGGGCGACCAAAGGGTTGCACTGTCAGTTCTGGTAGGATCAAGAATTTTCTCTTCTTGATGTCATCCAGACTGATTCTGGGTCCCAACCCCCTATCCAGTGGGTACCAGGAGCTCTTTCCCTGGGGGCAAAGAGTCTGAGGTGTGAAGCTGACCACTCACTTCCAACTAGTGCCAAGGTCAAGAAAACATGGGTCTATACATCCACTCCCCAATACAGCTTCATGGCATAGTGTTTAACTAGTTAAGCACAGGGACAACTTTACATTTTACACTGTCAATAGTTAAATAAGGTTTCTGGTAGTCAAAAATCTCATTATAGATACAATTAGCTTCTGCTATGGGTTCTATTACTATCTTCCACTCTATCAGCAACTTTCATTTGAACTTTCTTTTGGTCAGTGAAAATTGCTACTGATGACCCGAATCTTACAGCCTCAAAATAATAAGATATTACCTGCTGCTGCTCAAGAGGAGTGAGACTGCTCCAATGTTCAGTCTGTGACAGTTTCCCTGTTACAGCCTGCTGCCTGCAAAGTAAGAAACATACACTATTTCTTTACATGACAAATGCTGAGGGCCAGCAACTACACTGTAACAATTACAAGTTCTAACATTTTTAAAAATGTTCATTCTAATGGGCACTCACATTATTTGAAAATGGTGTAACCGCCTGTTTATTTTTGTCCTTTTCCTCCCACTCCTTGTATGTAGTGGGGTGCCACATGATCTTATAACCACGTCAAAATAGCAGGAGTAACGTATGGATGGAAAACAAGAATGATGTTTAGGGTGCGAGCATGAGGATTCCGCTCAGGGCTTAATGAGCCTAGTGCAACAAGAGGTTCTTTCCAAAGAAGTCACTGGACCAGACTCCACTAGTGAAACGATGTACTTAATTTATTGTTAACAGCATTACACCATATTCCACACTGGTACACAACTGTACTGTTCACAACTAGCCATACTCTGAATACAATAATTACAGTGATTACAATGAATACTGTGAGTTCAATGAATACTACTATGAATACACACTTTCCTGAACTGCGCCATTTGAAATCAGCCTTTAAATACTCTCTTATATTTTAGCATCCCGTTGTATTGAGGTATCATCCTTTTTGCTAGAGTATCCGCCAATAATACAATATAAAAGACATTAAGAATATGTCATTCACTTAAAATGTATTTTGATACTATGATTATTAAAATCATTACAATGTCCATAGGACACTACAGGCATACAATTTTTATACATTTAAAGTGATGTCAAAATCCTTTGGACTGTCTTGATTTTATATGTATTTTCTTAGAAAATAAAAATCTAAAAATATAAGAAAATACATGTAAAATTAAGACAGTCTAAAGAATTTCGACATTACTTTAAATGTATAAAGTTGTATGCCTGTAGTGTCATATGGACATTTTAATGATCATAGTATCAAAATACATTTTAAGTGAGTGACATATTCTTAATGTCTTTTATATTGTTGTATTATTGACGGATACTTTAAATACTATCAAATGACGTAATGTTTCCAGAACCTTCCACATCGAGATTTTTCTTGAAGCTTCCATACCATTCTACAGATTGAGAACGTTCTGGAAGTTTCTTTAATTGGGATGGTGGAAGAAGTAACTGATACAAATACTACACTAGCTATTATAGGGTTGTCTCCAGTTTCAGTAGTCCTTATCTACACATTCCTTGCTACCAATTCTCAGAACAGTAACAGTAAAACTGAGTATAAGTCACCTTTAGTACAAATAATGGTATTAATAAAATTAAAATTTATATTATAGTTGGTAACATTTAAGAATGACGACAGTAGATAATGATCGGTCACAATAGTTGATACACTTAAATCTTCAAGTCTGTCTTCTACTTATATACATCACAATACAGCTCTAAGGTTTAAAAAATTAATGTGTGTGCAGTAATATTCATTCATTTTTATCACAGAGGTACCAGAAAAAAGAGTAATTCATCATTCTCAATGTCTATAGCATTATATGAATCAAGAAGTTACCTACTGTACTTAAAGCAACTGACTACAAGCAGAAGTCCCACCCACAAGGCCTATCTGCTGTGTACAAGCAATCCACAAAGCTGAAGTTTGACTCATACAATGGAATTTTAAGATCAGTTCTAAACACAGCAGTTGCCTGTCACTTTGTGCATACTAATGTATATTTTTTCTTTGAGATGGTAAAGTCTCCTTTTGGAAAACTGAAAGTTTTTGATCAACAAGTTGTGAAAGTCAATGCCTTAATCACTGGCCCATCAACTGGTATGGTAGCCAATTTTCCTGGCTACTTTACTTGAAGAGCATAGATTCAAAACCTCCATTCTTTGCAGCGTGAATATGTTTCTGTCACTGACCTTCAATCACACAGCACAGCTGATAAATCTCACATAATTAAACTCCATTCTTCAAAACAGTGAACAATGTTGAAGAAGTTAATTAATGCCAACTTCTTATTTTGCTCTTTGATAAGCTGCCAACTTCTGAGAGACATATTAAGCTTCATATTCAAGTCCGAGCACTTTTCTTTCACTGCCACAATAAGGGATGAACTCTTCATAATTTTGCAACATGCAGCACATTTGATGCAAAATTTACAATTCCTGTTCTCAATGCATAATGGGCTAAGTTGCTGGAGTAAAGGGAAGTTAAGATGAATTCATGTAAACATTTTCACTGGATAACATTTAGAGCAGACTCCACCTAGAAGCTGTCAGTCAAGTCATGCTAAATGCAGTCCTAAGAACACTATCCTCTCATATGGCTACATAACATTTTGAGGAGTTGATTAAAGTTTTAATATAATATTTTAGGACTCTGCATGGGTAAGAAACACTTCTGCTTCAGGGTTGCATAAACTCTCTAATCAGACATGTAGTACTCAGACTGTCTTCCCCAAACAAGAGAAAGGCCCAAAGGGTGGGTTAATGATACCATTGCAGGCTGCCTGCCATAAAAGATCTGGAAGCAAAATGGCAGGTACAGTCAGTGTCAAGTAAAAAAGTCACATACTGATCAAGGTGCTGGAAAGAAACATTAGTTTTATGTTAGATATTTCCATTCAAGTAACTGCCAAAGAATTCTGTCATTCTCATAAAATTCCTGTTATAAGCCATGCTCATTCTACAGTAGTTACACTGTAATTTAAACCAAGATAAGTGAATTGCAGCTTACATTCATGCCTGCAGTCTTCAGAAATTGAAACAAGCATGGAATAGATGTATACTATAATCTAGTGGACTATATTACCAATGAAGTTATTTAAAATTTATTAAGCTTACTTAAAAATTGTAATATTGGAAGGCTCAAGAGGCCAGTGTAGTGGTGTTGAGTCAAATAACAGTGAACAAGAACAAACTGATATCAAGCTTGTGACAACTGTAAATTACTATTCCAGAACAAGATAAATATTGCAACTAGTGTTAGAAGTCAGACTAGAGATGGATCCAGGTTTAAAAGCAATTGTGTAAAAGCTGAACAAGTTGCATGCCAGCCAAGTCAAACTGGCAGCTTAAAGGTAAAGAAATTAAAAAGGACATTCGCACCAATCAGGAAGAACTCAAACAAGTCATATGAACCAGCCAGGAAGAAGTAGAAAATGACACAAATGTCTCCCATGAGAAATTAAAACATGAAATAAGTGACACAAAGGCTGCCCAGAGCGAATTAGAGGAAACAGTAACAGACACACTAGACATACAGTTGAAGAGTACCATGGAGGTCATTCGGCAGCAGGGCAAGTCTTCACGAGGTCAGTAGCGAGCTGTAGGTGACATGATTAGATGTAGAAACAACATGACTTGACATGACATCAAGGCAAATGAATGTGACCCAGAAGCTATATATTGTGAGTTCAAGATATGAAACTGGTGGCAGCAGAAGCACAAACAGGAAATAACAGCTAGGGGAACACAGAGACCAGCACCATCGTGAAGCTGGTGAAATTTGACAGATCCACACCTTGGATGGTGTTCCATCAACAGTGTGAGGCTGTGACTGATCACAATGTTTGGGAAGCCTGGGAAAAGGCCACACATCTACTGAACATTTTGCAGGAGGCAAGCTGCTCACATCCTAAACAGTGTCCCACCTGGAGTGGTATATAAGTATGTCAGGGCTTTGAATGACCGTTTAAGAGACTACCAGCCCTGGAACTAGCTGAGCACTGAGTTGCTACAGGAATTTGCAGTGGCCATTGTGCAGTTGGCCTACTGGGCCCTTCTTGGGCTACCCAACCATTTTATCCAGAAGGAGGCAGCCTATGCACTCCACTGTGGAGTGAAGGACTGAAACGTGAAACAACGCCTCGTCAATGAACCCCTTAACTACTGAAGCTAGAGGCTGTGAAGGCAGCAGCCAGACAATCAGCAAAGCTACTTCTCTGAGAATACTTAGAACACACGTCAAGAATTTTAGCATAAGAAAACAGTGTAAACTTAATGAAAAAACTGCATCTGTATTTCAGCTGGGTAGAAAAAAGCAACAATTCAATAACAGAGTTTCTGGTAATGTACCACCCAATAATGACCTACAAGGTAAAAACATTTAGTGGATTTTAATAAACAGCAATTACATCTGAAACTGTATTGATGTTTATTTAACATAAATGATTTCACAGTTATTACACAACAATATGCAGACAGTAAAATGAAGTTGAATTTCCCTATCATTATTGCATTAGTACTGAATCAAGCCTGTCTTTCTTGGTAATAAGACACACATGCACTAGTCTGTTGGGCAATCCATTCACAAAATTCATCAGCCAGGAAAGAAGACATAGACTAAACTTTTTCCACACTGTCAGGCAACTTCTTTTTAACACTTTCTAGATCCCCTCAACAACACAAATGACTTTCAACATTATTATTGTTATTATTATTATTATTACAAAACATACACTATGTGCAACAGAAGTTCTACTCAGTGTAAAATGGCACATACATCTTTCAGTGCAAGGCATACAACACATAATATAAACAGAACTAATCATATGTTAATGTAATGACAGCCCTGAACTGCTACCACAAAAGCCCACCACTGGATAAATGTCTGAATTAACACAATTCTGCACATACCAATGAAGACTGTTTTTCATAAAGCTCATTTTGATATTACCTTTCTATTCCTCCCACTGTCTTAAAACTGGAAGGTTTTACAGAGGATTCCACCACTACATATGCACAATAATAAAATTTCATGAATAACATTTTGAAGAAATATTGTATGAACAAATCCAATACAACAATATCAAAAATATCAAATCCAAATTCTGTCATATGTGGGGTTCATTTATTATATTATATTAATGATGCTATTCCAGCTGGAGAGGTCATACAGAACGGAATGAGACGGCAAAACAATGGTAGTTACTATAGGATTCTGACGATGGTGTATAACACACTGATATATTGGGTTTCTGGACTTTATCCATCGTCCTGGTTTTTAAGATAACAAATAAAAACACGACGTTTCGGAAACTGGATCTGTTTCCATACTCAGGTGAAGGAAAAGGAAAACACCTATTCTGTTGGGTCCGTTAGAAAGAGCTAGCCTCAATCACNCTCAGTCACGATAACTGTGTACCTCCCCTTACACATCTATGTTAGAGTTACAACCAGCTCAGCATGCAGAACTGTTCAATAATAATGCACAGAGTAGTAACTTTTAAGAAAAACAACTTTTTACACAAAATAAATTCACGTGCAAGAATTATAGGCTTGAATGTAGAGGAATGTCCAGGAAACATTTACACTATTAACAGTTTGTTTTTATGATTACTAAACCTTAACCTCATTCAGCTCAGGTAATAAAACATTGTTAATAGCAACAAAAAGCTTTAAAAAATTATGGAAATCACGCAGGCAAAGAATGTTGCTGTTCCTCAATATGTTAAACAGTGTACACTCATCGAGTACAAGCTTGCAATACCTGAGAAGGAACTGCCTTTGAAGGTACTGATAGTGGTAATGTTGCATGAGAAGGTTTTCTTGCTCCAACCCTGTTGGTACTGTGGGTGCAGTTACAGCCTGTGTCAAGGTGGACTGGCCTGTGGTGGGGACAGAGGTGGGCACACTATCTCCGCCCTGTAACACATGTAGCACATCATGTTTAGATATATATGTCTCTTTATTAGATGCAATATTTTACTGTATGATTTCCCAACATCAAAGCAAGTAAAAAAGTTCAATTGAACTTGTATCCTGAGGACTTTCTTTAAAAAGTCAAGAGTATTCTACTTTCAGCTTCCATGGTGATACCTTATGTACTACCTAAGTTAATGGGGTGTGCATGAGAAGAAAACTAAGAAAGGTGCCATTAATAACCTCTTTTTACTTTCTCACAGGAGGTGCTCGAAAGAGCCCGCATGTTCAGAGACAAACGAATCAGCTCTGCACAAAAAATAAACTTTCAAGCACTTGAAGATTCTGGGAATATTCTTTATTTCAGTTGCAAATGGTGGATCTGATGATACAGTTCCCCTTTAGTATCAACTGATTGGCACAAAACTTGAATCTCAAATATCCCCAAAGAGAAAACTGAGAGGATTCAAATCAGGTGAGCATGCAAGCCAAGAAAAATTAAATTCACTTAGTGGGGGGTGGAGTCCAACTGGGTCCACTCGGATTGGCCTATTGTAGCCTACTCCGGGTGATTATGATGATGGAGAATTTGGTGGAATGAAGATTGGCAGGGGAAACCAAAGTACTTGGAAAAAACCTGCCCCAGCGCCACTTTGTCCACCAAAAATCCCACTTGACCAGACCCGGGATCGAACCCGGGCCGTGAACTTCACATCTGCAACCAAACCAGCAGCCAGGATAATTTTCAGACGGTCACAGACACACACTTCACAATTGTAATGTGGTGGAGTACCATTCTTGTTGTTTCCATTTTGCAATTCTAATACTTGATGCGTAGTCCCATCCATATGCTCATGTATTTCATGGTTTTGGGTCTTTCATCCTGTTGTGCTGTGTCTAAACTATGGGTGTAAGTATTAGTGTTCATTTGCCTACATTATATAGTAGTCACACACTGTAAATGTCAGTAAGATACTGTAAACATCAATAGAAAGTTCTGACATCAATTGCACCTCTGTGATCACCAAGCCAGGTGGGGAGCCCACTCAGAATGTGAAGGTACAAGCTGACATATAGCTTTACATGGATGGCCTTCTGGAAACATATTCCTATGAGCTTTTTACATACTCTGATGTCCAGAAAACATCCTGTAAAATATGGCATGTAATAATATGGCACCTGTATTATGTTCACACTGTTAAATATAATATACAATAATTTGTATTCCTTCCCAATGTTTTATGAAATTTTCTTTTTCTTGCAGTTATTATAAGACTGGCCAACAAATGATTTGTCGGTTGTCTCTGTTATTTTATGAGCATGTGAACTGCTAACAGTATTCAGCATAGAAACATACATGGCAGGATGACTGATCCATTAAGTAAGGAAACTGTACAATTTTTAGGCATGCCTGAAAACCCGCAGAGCACCTATTAAATTCAATGAGTCTGTCTGTCAATATGCATTAATTCAATGCCCAAAACAAATTTTTATTTACACTGGATATGTTTCATGATTGAGAGTTCTGTCTTTTGGGATATAATGCTATGTAGTCCACTGAAAGTCAACTGATATTTCAGAGGTACCTGTTGCCTCCATCCTCAGGGTTGAAGAATAAGCTAAGCAAGAAACCAGTGTGAAAGCAGGGGGCAAACAGAGCCTGACTTTCACACTTTCAAATGTGAATGACTCAATTAATCGGTCACCAGTTCCCATGAAGATACTGGCCTCTAGAACAGTGACACAACATAGTCTTACAGAAGCTTTGTTTAGTTTGTGCTTCCATCTTCAGGCAGAATAAGATGAATGTGGAAGAAAGCAATATGGGCCCATTTCCATGCTTTACTTATTCTTATACCCTGAAGATAGAGGTAGCATGTCCCTCCAAAGTGCTGGTACATATCTACCAGGTTTGACTGAATTTCATCCCAGAAGACACTAATCCGATAGTCACTGTTGTGGGAACCTTATATCTCACACCAGTTCCTACCATACAAGTTACCTTTACCAACATTTATTACAGTACATTAAAACTCCAGCTGATCACAGTGGCCACACGGTCTAAGGAATGAACCGTCCTTGCCAGCTTGAAGACTAGGGGCGTGGGTTTGAATCCCACTATAGGCACAGATGTCTGTGTGCATTTATTGCGTGTGTAGGTAATGGCTTTATGACAGGCTGATCCCTTGTCCAAGGAGTCCTACCGACTGTGTATATGATTAAGAAACTGAAAAAGCAGCCAAGGTCCAAAGGGTTGCAGATCCATTGAGAAAGAAAGAAAATATTAAAACTCAAACAATTGGGCTGGTGACAGTTTAATCTGCCAGGGTTGTCACTGCTATACCAAATAGTGTGTCATAGTTCACTATAACTGTTGTTCACTTCCACTTTCAGATGCCCTAAATTGTCAAGTCACACTGATGAAGTGTGTGGTATTGGATTCCCAACACTTAAAACACACTGCTTTTGAGGGGAAAACTGAAATAAACAGATGGTAATTAAGGTCATACAAGTAACAAAAATGTCTACCAATAACAACAGGTGTCGTTGCACAATATTCTGAGCTCTAGTGTGCATATAAAGTTTGAATGGAAGCAATTTCACAGCGCACAAAGTCACAACTGTTTCTCTCTCTGCGACAGACTTCACTCACCTGCTGTCTTGATTCCAATTAGAGTACTACTGCTACACCAAAAGAATCACATAAAATCCAATAATTTTTATCTTACTTTAAGTGGAGGAACAGCATGGCCTGGCATGAAGGGGATGCGACCCCATATCTTAATGAGGTCACCAAGCTGTGAATACCGATCATCACAACTGCGCTTGACCAGCAAATTTAGAGTGAAGTAGCCAGCACGAAACCACTCTGCCATCTCTCCCGACAGAAATGGACCTATAACAATATGCAGTTTTAAGTATTTTGAACAAGTAACTCAAAAAACAAATGTTACACACAGAATGACACCCACCTTGTACTTCCCCTTGAGGATCTCTATAGTACCACTTCTCAGCAACAGAAGTCTGTTGCAGAGACGTTATTAACTTCTCGTGTCCTTCCTCATCATCCATTAACTTTGCCACTAGGTCATCGGCAACTTCCTGCATATGTTCCATGTCGTCTTCTGACTTCTGTCGCCCAACAGTCACGGTCTGTGGTCGAACAAGTAATAATCTCTCAGTTTCTGTGGCACTGCCTGACACCCTGTTTTGAACACTGTCATTCGTATCAGCACTAGTCACTGCAGGTCCCACACTGGCCATACCTTCAGTACTGTTACGCATCATTTCATTCACACACAATGTTGAACTTGCAGGAAAAACAGAATTTGTTATACTGTCAGATGTGCCTGAATCTGAAGTGGCACCTGGTTGATGTTGCAATACAGTTGCTGATTCACTACTAGTACTTGTTTTCTTAGTGATCAATGTGGAATTGTTTGACAGACTATTAGATGATAATGCTGCTGACTGTGAGGTGGGAGGTGGAGAAGTCTTCTTGTTGCTACCTGAACTTGTACTGGTGTCTGATGTTAATGATTCTGGAGGTACTTTTGATGTTTCGGAAGAGTTGGATAATGTAAGAACACTAGTGACAAGTCTTTCTGTTGACTGCTGCTGTATTTCTTCTGCAGCTTGATCAGTGGCTAGGCTTATCCCTGTTTCATCTCTGTCATGAGCATTAGTACTATTACCTAGGAAAAGAAACATATCTAGCGTCAATGCAAACTGAATCAAGAGAACAAAATTATGAACAATGAGCCCGAAAGCTCTCAAGACAAATATACATTGCACAGATTTTTGGGTACCACATCAAATGAAAATGAAAAAAATTACTTACACTTAAGAGGAACTTACTGCTTTCTTTTCAGGTTCTAAATGCCCTCTGATCCTGATGAAGGTTGCAGCAAGCTCCTCTGATTCATCACAGTAAAATACCTGAAGCCTCTACAATACAAATTAACATACAATTTAAGCAGCCTCCGTAGTCTAGGGGTAACGTTCCCACCTCATGACTCAAGGTACGCGGGTTCAAACCCGGCGGAGGTCGTTAAATTTTTAAGGGCGGAAAAATTCAGGGAACAAGTCCTCCGGGAGGGACTTTAAGCCGTGGGTCCCGTGTCGTAGATTTACGGCACGTAAAAGATCCTCATGTCTCTAGGAGACCTCTGAGCTAAATTAGGCAAAATGTTTCCTGCCCAAGTAGTTTCCAATGCCTCTGGTAGATGGGGGAAGTATCAAGGTACCGAAGGCAGACCTCGTTGGCCGNTTGTGTCTGTGTGCACTTGCATATGCGTGCCTCCAAGCATGTGCTGGGTGGGTGGGTGGGTGGGGGTCCATGGTATATATTCTACATTTTTCTAATACCATGCCATCAGCACATTATATGCCAGAATTGTATAATCAGAAATTAGTAACACAGATGTAAAACAATTGGAACACAATGATAATGGTACTATAAATCACAAAATATGTTTGTTTCATATGAATACAGCAATGCATAAAGTGCTGATAATATATTACAAACAGTACTTGACAAACAATCCTGGATAATATTATATTTAAGCATCCTGTTACACTCACACAATATATGAGACAAACTCCGTCTTAAGTGCAACAATTTTATTGTAGTCCTTTCTTCTCCCCTTCCTCCACACTACATGTTTCGGCCCTAAATGGCCATCATTAGGTGTGTATTCTTACGTAGCTGCTACACTGCCCGTAGTTTAAAATTTAAAATCACCAGTCTTTCCAATTGTATGTATGTATAAAATCTTTGTTAACCTACACGCGTCCTCCCACTCCTCATATAAATCCTGGATAAACTTAGTTTTATGTCATAATAGTTTCTTTAAGAATATGAAACATAACACGAAGGATTTGTAATCATAACTTATCAAGTATTCTATACAAAAATCACGTTTCATGTCTTACATTCAAACTTGTACAAATGTAAAACACATACAACTGCACTAAGTAATAACAGACACATAAATACATCACTCAGAAAGGGAACAGCAGTGACAGAACAATTAATACAACATAAATGTGAAAAGAGAACTTCACCTGTCGTTCCCAGCACTCGTCTGCCACTTCCAGTCATTCCAGGTTGAACCCGTTTGGTTCCGGAGCTGTCAGACAGCAGCTTACACCGAGACTCTCTTGAGTGACTGCCACCACCACTCCCACCCCCTGTACTCATAATGCCATCCTGACATCATTAAAAAACCATTCTAAATACCACTTCAAATGAAATCTCTCAAGTTTATTATCTACAACAAACTTTAACCAATATTTTAATATGTGATTTAGTATACAGTTAAGCTTTACACTTGCAACATATCACCCAAAATATCATTTCCGAATGTGCTCTTATCTGTCTCTATCAAGACATTGCCTATGCGCTGCTTCTAACACAAATGAAGGAAATACTAACCTCATCTTCATCTGAATAGCCTCCACCTCCATGAAAAGCACCAGAAGCATCAAAACTTCCTCCACTTTCACTAGGATTATCATTGACCCTGCAACAATAGATATAATTTGTATTACTGACATATGACAGATATTGTTAAAAGTCTGAGCTAAAACATGTCCTCAATATGGTATTCAAATGTGAATTTTAATATATTTAAAGGTCACAGAAAGATCAGAACTGAAATCACCTTTCCTGTAACTCAGATTTGATTATGTACAATTTTGTTTTAACCCTACAAGAGCCAGTTTCAATTTGTTACTACAGCGCTAAGCCAAAACACTTCAAATTCAGGTACAACAAAAATGCAGCTGACTGCTATAATTTTCAACCTTCACTGACCTATCACATACCATTTTGAAGAGAACTGTATTATGATTCAATGCATAAACATTCATAACTGAAAAGCACATAAGCAAAACAAACGACATACAATTATTGTCTTATAATCATTGAAAAGTTTTGGACAACTACTACTAACAGAAGCTATGTAAAACAAATTCAAAATATACAAAGTACAATTTACTATATCAGCAATGTTTAATCAGAATTTCATTACAAAATAACCACAGTTCTTTCTAGGATATTCACAATCTTATCTCCATCAATTGCTGTACTTTCCCAGGTAGCCACAATTTTAGGTTTGCAGAGTTTCTCTTCTTTCATGAATATATATAAAGCTCAAGTTGTGAGATTAACTGTCACATATAGCATAGAAGTGTGATCTGCTTGTTATACTAGATTTGAACTAGAGAAAGTTCACGAATATGGCAGTCAATGTTGTATTTGGACAGGTACTGTCAATTTCATAAATATGTCCACGTAAAATTAAGTTGGAAATGAACTAATTCATTATTTCTTCACATTTTTATACATTTTATACTTTAACAAATTTGCACTTATATTTTTAACTGATTTGTGTATACCACTTGAAGATAACAGTTTTTATAATGGGCACATGACATTAATGAAGAATAACTGAACACTCTCACTGATGTTGGCATCTTCAGAAAGAAGAATTACATATTTTCTTATATTACATAACCTCTTCAACTTGCAACCAACTGTTAATTACAAGCCATCCTAAAAGTCCTGCCCATTATTTACTACATGCCGCTGCGCCATAGCTCAAGTGGTTAGTCGCTGGCTTCTACTTGTAATAGAAATAAGTTTCTGTGTACCACAGCTGGACAGGATCCATACCATCCGAAGTTCCCACACCTATAATGTAACACTCAAAGCACAGGTCCATTATATTACATGTGACACACAGTTACAAACTCGGACTGTGAAACAAACTTCACCAATATGCACTAATGAAAAAAGAATGTCAGTTTACTTTGGGGTGGTATACACAACATTTTCTGTTTGCATGTCAGTATCTTAAACCATGTCGATGTTACACATGAGGATGCACACATATGTAAAACCATGCAATAGGAGACACCTAAGTCATATATTTTGAATAAAACTACTGAAAATATGAACACCACACTAATAATGAAATGTGTACAGTATCTGTAGTGTTCCCATTATTTTGTTGAATCCCTCTATATGTCATCAGACACACTGAGTGTACTGTGACATGTTGCGCAACGGAGAACCCCCCCACCAGCAGTGACGCGGCGGGTGAGTCAGCGCTCCGTCATCCCCCCTCCGTACGGTAATGTAACGCGCAATGAGCGGTGACGTAAGACGGCGTGAGGTAACAGCGTTGCTACGTAACAGGCCCACACAGCCCCTATATAAGAGAGCTGCGCTGCCTGCGGGGAGAGTTAGTTGAAATGTGGCCATCACCGAGTTCAGTAGTAGTTGAGCCAGTGTGTTATCAAGAGTTCTCAAGGCAGCAGCCTGCGAACTGAGTTGGAATATAACAGCCGTCGTGGAAAGAAGAACCGGACGTGTAACTGTGTAATTGGGAGTGTGCGAGACAGAGACTTGTATAGCTCCTGTACTGTGAATACGTGTAGCCTACTGAAAATAGAGTGAACTGATTTGCGAATAGGGTTATAAATCATGAAACCCCGCAACAGTGTTAACAGATTTTTGTGAATAGGGTTATAAAGTGTGAAACCAACTGTGTGATAATTAATTGTAGCTGTTACTTGTAGGTTGTTGAATAAACCAATTAACGATCTCTACGGCATCTTCAGTAACGATACGAGTTACAGTACTATAAAATTAACAAAAATATATTACACACAACTTCAAACTCTAATGTGAAATGAGTTTCTTCATCCTTGCAGTATACTGATTGTCGGCACAAGTTACATATGAACCAATCCATCAAGACTGCTAAGAACGTCTTCACTGATACAGCTGACATTACCTCTTGGGCACAAAAATGTCTTATTACTGCAACGTGTAGAAACAAACTACAAACTCTCTTCAAACATCTCTTTAAATAGTGAGGTTGTACCTACTACTTAAGCCTAAGTCCTTCTGGTTTAGCACTTACCTTATCAACAAAATCTTGCCTGGCTATCAGCCATGCCAGTTGCTTAAAATTAACAATATTTCAGGGACCATTCTTTGTCCCCATCGTAAGACCCTGATGATGGAGACAGAAACTGATCATTTTTAACAACTGACACAGGCAATAGCATGAAATGGTTCTACTAACTTCAACTGCAATGAAAGCTTCAAACTTTACAAGTGCCTTACTGTATAATATCTGAGTGGTGTTCAAATTTTTCTGAGTAAAGAGCGACTTCCTCTAAAATCAGAAGGGCCTATAACACATATAATACCTGTACCAATACTTTCATTTTCTTGCTGAACCGCAAGAAGACATACATTTGTATGTGTTGAAACAGCATCTAGCTACACGTAAGTACTCACCACTCTGGCAAAATATCCTCATCACAAAGCCGTCTGGGTGGATGATGGGAAGGTGCGGAAGTACCAGGTTCATCCCAGCTTCTCCCTCTTTCCCAGCCCTGACCTCTGCCAGTAACATTCCTCTCCTTGTCCATCTCACTTCCATCTTTATCTCCCTCACGCCAGCTGCTACTTCGAACTGCATGATCAGAATAAGCAACTTTCATTACAGCAAAAATTATTTACTGATAGTTCTCACTCACACTTCCCTTGTCACCTTGTCAAAGAGAAAAAAATCTGAACTTTAAAACTGAATTCTGTCACTCTCATCACAACCCCTTTACCTTCTACACCAAGCAATGCTATTTCATACTGAGACTGCAGTATCACTCTGAAGCTTCTTTTTACTAAACCTCACATCTCCGTTATCAGCAGTTTCAGAATAATGTTGATTCTCAGCAAGGGAAAAGTTAGTGGTGTAAAATAAATGTAAACACAATTTTTAAGAACACTGGCAGCATTCAACCAAGGCAATGAACTTCAAATATCATGGATATTCCTTTAAGGTAAACAATTATGTCATACTGGCATCCAATCAGGAGCTGGAAGTATAATTCCAGCAGCCAAAAAGCAACAATTTGGGGAAGTCTGATTCCATGCACTGGATGCATCACAAAATCATTATATACAGTTCCATGGTGGCAAAGGCAAGATCATTCAAGTGCTAATGCTGCCAAATCATACTTGGGAGGTACACTGGTTGAATCTTGGCCAGGACAAAGGCTATTCAGACTAAAGTCTTTTGCAGTTTTTCTCAGACCCTTCAGCCAAACGCCACAATACACTTTAAACTGGGCCGTGCCCATTTCATTCCACATTCTTTCAAATCCATGATACACTCTCAATACATCACTTGATGCCACACATATACTCAAGAGTAATTCGCATAGTGGAGGGGGTGTAGTCCAGTTGGGTCCACTCGGTACAGCGGCCACTGATTGGCCTATTGTACCTGCCCCGGGTGATTATGATGATGGAGAATTTGGCGGAATGAAGATTGGCAGGGGAAACCAAAGTACTCGGAGAAAACCTGCACCAGTGCCACTTTTTCCACCACAAATCCCACTTGTTTGTTACCGCAGTGATCCAAATGTTGTTGGTAGATGTCCAACTGTGTTTGTTTCTTCAACACTGTGAGTTGTTTTGGGACACATCTTGCACAGACTTTATGAAACCCAAATCTGTTGTGGATGATTTTATAGGCAGAACGATAACTTGCAGACAATTTGCCACTTCATCAATGGTCGCTAGTCTGTCTAACAGAACCATGTCATGTGCACACTCAATATTGTCCTCATTTGTGGCTGTGGATGGGGGTCTGGCTCCTTCCTCATGTGTAACACTTGTGCTGTCATTTTTTTCATTTTTCAATTAATTCGTATACACACTGTTGCAGCAAAACTCTGTTCCTGTATGGTGTTGAAAGTCTTTGATTGACTGAGGCCCCTGATACATCTTCTGGCCATAAAAACTGGATCACTGATCATTGCTCATGCATGGTGCAAACAGAAAGCGGAGCAGCCATGATTAATGGCAAGACAGCAACGATGGAACTGACCTAGCAACATCAAACCTGTGCAAAAATAGTAAGATGGTAACCACGCAAAGTGATGCTGTGCATAAATGACAATACTGCCAACAGAAACACAAATACAACTGCAATGTGGATAATTACTGACTTCCCCTCATATATTGCGAAGCTCCTCATTATACTATTTTCACCGACCTCCTATTATTTCATCCCTCTTCAGTCCAAATATTCTCTTTGGTACCCTGTTCTCAAATACCTTTTTCCCTTAATGTCAGAGATCAAGTTTCATACCCAAACAAAACCACAGCAAAACTATAGCTTTGTATACTATATTTTTTTTTTTAATTTTTAGACAGCAGACAATAAGACAAAAGTTTCTCAACTAAATGGTGACAAGCACTACCCAAAAATAATCTGCTCTTAATTTCCTCATGAATACAATTTTGATTTGTTACTGTCCGCCAAAAATAACTGAACTTTTGCCACATTTTCAAAGCATCTATTAGCTATCTTTACATTATGATTAGTTTTCTCTGCATTCACTTCTTGACTAACCTCCTTACTAGGATCAACTACAGATTCTGTGTCTTTCTTTGTGGTATTATCTCCCAATATGGCTACATCTTTAGCACAGACCAGCAGTTGGTGTATCCCATTTAATTTCAGTTGCACCTGGTTTTCCTGGACCTTCGTAATGGCAATTCTGAAGTAAAGTTGAAACGTAATGGCAATGAAGCATCCTCTTGTTTCAGACCACTTTGAACAGGAACTGTATTCAAGAAATGTTCACCTGCACACACTTTACTATAGGTTTCATTTAAAAATATCTTAATAAGCCTGACAACTTCCATGGGTACCTCAAACTCAATGAGAATACTGCATAATACTTTCCTCCTATATGAATCATAAGTTTTCTTGAAGTATATGAATAACTCACTGTACTCCCATTTTGTTCTATTACACTGAAACCCACACAGCAGTCAGAAGTTCAGTACATACATTCTGCACATATTGTTGTAGGCTCTGAGACTACTGGTACCTAGTATCATATTACCCAGGATGCAGAGAACAGCCACACTCTTGACATAACCATGAGGTCCCCCCCCCTTTTTTTTTCTTTGAAACACAGACTACAGCTTCTTGTGGGAATACTGTCACTCTTGACTGCTGGAAATTTCAGCCATGTTGAAACAGGGCATTATGTCTTACATGTAACAATTTTCTATTCATGCACTGTCTGTCAGTGCACTCTTGAAGTGAACCTACTACCAATGCACTTTACAACATATAAAAAGGTAAAGCTAACCCTGTAAGAGGCCATGAAGGCCCATAGGGTTGTGAGACGTTGAGGGTCCCAACACTATCTAGACCATCGGCTCAAATATGGCGGTAACGTTGTCAGCCTTACGCATCGGCCGCACTTTACTCCCCAGGAAAATTATTTAATTAATTCCCGGTACTCATTTCTGTCAGAGGCTAAACCCCAGGGCCTAGCGCAGCTGGAAGGATGAGGTCAACTGAAAAAAAAACCAATGACCTCATCAGGACTTGAACCTGTGACCTTCTGGCTATACTGGTAAGTATATAAGTTTGTTACTTTTTGCATTATATTTCCCTCTTGCTCCTTGGTAAAGCAGAGAACCTGTTAGCCTACTGCTGCCTTAACTGAAATGTAATAATTTGGGCCTGTTCATCTGCAGATGGCATGTCCAATTCTACCTTGTATAAGACACCTTGAACATGTTGAGAGTATGCAAACAATAAAATCAGAGATGATGAGTGCCATCTGGTAATCTTGATAACTAGGTATAGACAGAGTAAGAAGGTAAGCAAACACTTCACATTTATTTTAAATTAGTTCCCCTGCAAATATGGTCATTCATAGGAGTGAAGTACCACCAGTAATATATCACTGAAATTTTAGGAACAAGCTTCCAGATTTTGATTTTGATAGGCCTCAAAAAATGTAATGGTGTTTCTGACACATTGCAATTGTTGTTGTTTGTCCAAGGAGCTGACATTTTGACATTATCAACAAACTTGCTTCAGTACATTGTATGTATGCTAAGAGCATGGATGAGGACATTTTTCAAAAAGTGGAAGAGAATTCAATATATTTTATTCTTCAATGAAAGAAATCAACTCTGTTACAACAGATGGGGGCAGAAATACGAGTGTGTGTGGTATATATGAAGGACGAGGAGAAAAAAAGTCTAGAATACAGGCAGAATCTGCAGCTGTCCCAAAACCATGGTTCTTCACTGCATTATCCATCAGCAGATGCTCTGCAGGAAATTCATGGATATTTTTATTATGGAATCTGCAGTTTCACTGGAAATTTTATCCATGCCTGTGGGTTGCATCACTGCCAATTTCATACTTTCTTTGTGGGGATATACATAAGCTCAGTGCCCTACTGTTCCATATCACATTGCAGATTGATGATTAAGATTTTTCTTTACCTTAGAGTTAAAATTGAAATGTTCTTAACTGAGAAACACTGACCCTTCACTCAGCTTTATGATCATGACTGGATATGGGAGCTATTACGTAGCTGATTTGTCTAAGTTCATAAAAAATTTTAATTCATGGTTACAGGGAGGAAAATGTTCTGATTTTTTTAACGTGATTCTGATGTGTAGTCTTTTAGTCAAGAACTCCTCCTGTTCGAGAATGAGCTTTCAAGAAATAGTGCCTTTAATTTTTCTGGTGCAGAAACTTTAAAAACGAGCGCAAGTAATTTCCACATAATTTTGCCTTGGAGATCATGTCTAAATTGAACCAGCTACAGAGCTATTTCTTTATACTTTTCCTGATTCACTGTGGTGGAAACTGAGGTAGGGCTTGGCATATGGCCGCCAGTATTCTGTGTTACATCTTACGACCTACCCCATTTATCAGAGCGGCTATTTGTAGCAGTTCTCCAACCATCTTCATCTTCCCCTCCTCCTCGGTGGCGTCGCCAATTGTCACTCATGAAACCACGACCACCACCAAATTCTTTCCGCGGGGAAGTGGAGCCATTCCAGTCACCAGAGTCACCATTTCTTTCACTCCATCCTCGATCAGTCAATGATCCCTGAAAAATGTATTATATATAACTGATCAAACACTGGATACATGCATTGGTTAGTATAACTTTCCAATGGCTATTACTAACACGTACAATAATGCCAATAATGGGTAGTCCCGCAGTGATGTGCGATCTTGCAATCATGACTGATGCTTCTGGTGTCAATGGTAATGAGGCATTACTTGTCCCATTTGCATCCCTTTGCATTTCGGCTATCATAATCCTGCCTTGCTGGTGCACCGAGTGTGTAGCAAGGGTCATGAGTGATGCCCCAGCACCTTCTTGGTGCTATCCCTTACTCATTTCTTGGGTCCCAGCCGACATTCTCCCAGGTAGCCTTTCAGGGGGGATCCCTGTTGACACACTTTTATAACACCCCCCCCCCGCAACAGCATACAAATCACCGTCTTGCTGCCTTTAGTCTTTGGTGATCATGGTCCCAAGCAGGCTCCAACTTTTACCACTCACAGCCTTCCTAGTGGCCTTGCTGCTGCCTTTGCAGCCTCTAGCCCCAGGGCCTAAATGAGGGCGTTGTTCTGTGTCCTACTGCCACACATATGGTGGACAAGCTTCACCTCTCAGTCCCCCTTCCTGTTGATGAATGCATAAGTTGTTTTCCTTTGGATGAGGTAGTGATGCAGCCCAACAAGGACCTCGTGGGCTAACGGCTCAATGGCAATAAGTCTTGCAGGGACTCGCTTATCAGCTGGGAATGGTATGCTACAGCCAGTTTGTGGTTCCTATAGTGGCCCTCAAGTGTCTCAATAATGTAATTACACCTCATATCTATAGCAATGCTGTGCAGGATGACCACTAGATCACTTTCACTCAAACTGTCCAGTTGCTGTGCCCTGCCATGGCCTCAAACTGGCAATGAAACAAGATCCAGGACATGAGCCATCAAATCTTCATGAGTTTATTGTATATGCTCTGCTATGGTCCTGCAGCCTCTAGGACCTGACTGAGCTTCAACATCTGCCAGCTGCATTCTGCATTCTTGCCATACACTTCAAACAGTCTTTGCTGCCTGTATGTCCATGTTACATTCTTTAGAGAGGATCTCCATATCAACAGAAGCCCTCACTACTTCCTCATCCCACCACATACCTTGAATCTCAGCATCAAGGTCTCCCACACATTCATTCTTGACGTTTGGTTTATGTGGACTGGATGGTGCTTACCACAGCCCCTATTTTTTCTTGGCCAGCAATTATGGTAGCCTTCATATCTTCTTGGATGGCCTTCCTCTTGGCCCTCTTTCAGATTAATAGTTGTTCCAACCTGTCCAGGACTGGCTATTATATTGGTCTCAATCAAAGAATCCGACTTCAGTCGCTACACATGGGGTTTGGATTAGTAACTGGATTTATTTGTCACTGATTACTCTTATCTACAAACTACAACAACACTTTTCTAGCATTCACTACAATTTTACAATAATGTTATATCACTTCTGCTTGGTTATCTGTCCTTGCCAGCTCTGGTGTGCTGTTTTACATCAGATCATTGTGGACAGCATAGAAAATGCCACCTTTGGTCAGCTCTCGTGTGCTGTTTTATATCAGATCATTGCCAACAGCGTAGAAAACGCCACCTTAGACTATTTTGAGTATATCTGTTGCTGCAGAAATGTTTTTAACATGTTGTTTTGTAGAAATAGATACCACTGTGGCACTTTCAAGTGCAACAGCATGCCTTCATACTACACCCCAAGCCAGATGAATCTAGTATACACACCAATATCCTATATTACTTAAGATCTATTTTAATACTACCTTCCTACTTTGTCTAAATGTTCCAAAGTGGTCCCTTCCTTTCAGGGCCTCCAACTCAAATTCTGAATTACTTTTTTCAGCTCAATATGCCTGCATTCTACATTTAATCATCCTAATACTACAAAGTACCCAAAGTACAACTATCTCAATCTTCCTGTTACTTCCCCTCTTAAGCTGAATATTTTAAATTACAAATGATGAATCCATCCAAAGCCAAGGCATTTTGTGATATTTTATAGCATGCTAGTTTTCATGGCGGAGGGTTGTTGGCCCTAACCCATCACCCACAGTGGAGAATCATCACTAGTTGGTCATCTGTGACAGCTTATTCACTGTATTTATAGCTATCCATATGTGGAGGATGGCTCCTCCACATGTAACCTGAGGATGTGCGGTACGATGGTGACAATACTGAAAATAAAAAAAAAAGGTACCATATGTTTGATCAAAAAACAAACATAATTCTAATCCCAAGGATATGGAACTTTGTCCATTTAAGATGGTTCTTAGACTGGGGGTTGGAAGTGATGCTAACAACCTTACTTCGGAAAACCCAGGGCTGCATGCCAGATGACAAAAGGATTAGTATATGTTGTAATGAAAGTCAAGATTCTTGGAGGACTGAATAGCAAAGGAGAGTATACTGAATACACACCTGTGATCTATCAAATGGCCGTATGTTACGTGGAAAACTGGTTGCTGATGAAATGGAACCCTCAACCCGATCCCGGTCCAGACCTCCACGAAGTCCTCCCCTTGAGTCAACTCCATCTCCGGGCTCCTCATAGCTCAGCCCTCTAGAATAGTGATAGCCTCCTCGTCCACGTCCTCTTCCACGATCAACACTCCCGCCACGTCCACGAGGCCCTAAAGAGGTTCCTGCAGGAACTTTACCCGTCAACCGCAACACTGCATCACTATTAATACCACGATTCCAATTTCGCTGCACAAAAAGAACGCAAATATGCCCACATGATATACACCATTCCTCAACAAAACTAAATCACAGATACTAATTAGAACATAAATTAAGTGCACAACATGTACTCATTGAAGAACAGGAGATTATTCTGTGTCTTACAACCATACATTCAGTTCAAAATCAATAATACCGTACAAATTCTCTTTACACTTTTTGATAGTGCAATAACTGTGCAAGAAATGGAACACAAACATACAAAATTCTGTGACTTACAAACAGTCCATATTCACAGGTTATGATGTCTATTTGTTACTCTTAAAGAATTCCTGTTCACTTGCATACACATAACCATTACAGATGCTATAAGATATCAGAAGTAAGAATTTTCAAGGATGGAGAAAACTTCAGTATTATGTTCTAAATCTGGCCAACCTAGAAGGATTAAACACAAAGCCATCATAAGTAACACTTTTCCTTCTCTAATGCTATGGGTATAAACACAGTATAACTGATCAACGGACTTCTGTCCTGAATGCAGCTACATGTGACCAAGAGAAGAGAATTTCTGCTTTTCCACATGGCTACAAAATATTAATTTATATGGAAAATATAGATTAAGAGGTTTCATCATTTACTCTACAGTGCACTGCAGAAAATATACTAAAATAAAACTTTCTGTTATCATTTTTGTATCATATGAAGTTAGGAGAAGGAAGGTGTTCAGAATTTAACATCTAAAATGTACAAAAATAATTGTTTGCATTCTCCTGAGTAACTGACAACCATTCTGTCACCACTATATTTCTCACACCAGATTTGAGTTTCTTATGGTGGCGACAATGACTGCATTCATTTCTTTACTTGTACAGAATTCATGCCTGAAAAGACATTCATAACCTATTTAATCCTTATTTAGTTCTGATCAAAATAATTTTTGGATCATAAGGACTGGATAAATATGACAATTGCACTTTCCTCTTTTTGACCTTTTGATCTGGATAAAATTGTACAATGGACATTCCTGACTGGGCCAAGCGTCCTGTAACAACTCTTATGGACCTCCAGAATTGTGATTTTGGTTCCCACTGTACACTGAAAATAGTAACTGTCAGATAATGATGAAATGATCCATGTCAATAACTGATAATGACACACCCTCAATGATGTACTAGACATACTGTACATATTATTGATATTTTGAAGGTACTTGGTGCTTCCTTCTTCAGAGTATGGGGCAATCATAATTAGTGACAAACTGATATATTCTTACAAAACCCTCTAAACCACATGGCTATTGTTGTTCTAGCAAAGTGTCAACATATAGCTAAGGCTGATTTCGCACCGGACCCGTCTGAGCCAGTCACGTCCAGTCACGTCGGACTCCTGTTGACTCATCTGACTGGCTTCACACAGCAACACAAGGAAATGTCGTAATCTCTTTCACACTGCACGCGTCTTGTCCAGTCCAGTCATGACTGGCCAGGACTCATCCGGTTGAATTTCTTGCCAGTCTTCGTGTGTCTCGCTTATAAGTCACACGCGCTTTAATCAGTTTCATTTGTAACATATTGTTGTAATATGGATGTCGAGAAACTGATAATTCTAGTGAGAAGTAGACGTGAAATATATGACACAAAGGACCCAAATCATTGAAATAAAGATGTCTGAAAGTACCAAATGCATCTCTCTTCATGTTAATAGGATGAATCCAAAACATTTTCTTTTGCCTTCTTTCCCTCCTCCTCTGCAATCTTCGAAGTATAATAAACACAATCATTTCCACGTCCATCTGGCCAGGAGAAAGAGTGATACTGACTGACAAAGATGTATTCAGTATGAAACCTAATGACTGAAACAACGTGACTGGACTGGACTGGACTGGCGTTGACGTGACTGGACTGGACTCATTTGGTGCGAAGGGACCCTAATATGCACAATGAATGAAGCATTACTGTTTCATCCTCTGTCATCTGTTGCAGTGCCAATGGTTCTTGAGTTTTCTCCACATACAGTGATGAGACACTGGTAAGCTGATCCGGTGCTTTCACCATGTGGTCAAACAGAGCCAGCATTTCCTCCCGTCCATACCGATGGTCAGCAAGCTGGTATCGCGGTGTTGATGGTATACTAGGTTGTGTGCAACCATCCTGAGACAGGTTGCGCAACCTACAAGATAAAAGATGCTTACATTAATACATATACTGTACAAGGTAGTAAAGCTGTCCTTGAGCTTAACTAATTAAGCACATGTCATGAAGGCGTATGGGAGAGTGGATGTATAGGTCCACATTTTCTTGACCTCAGCACTAGTTGGAGGTGAGTGGTCAGCTTCACGCCCCTGCGCTTTACCCCCAGGGAAAGAGTCCCCAGTACTCATTGGATAGGAGGCTGGGTGTACCCCAGAGCTGGCCTGGGCAATGTGGCAAAAGGAAAATTCTTGACCCTATTGAGACTCGGACTCTGGCCCCTCGGACGTCCAGTCTGTAGCCAGTCGCTCTACCACCTGCGCTATCCTGGCTCCTAATTCATATACTGTATATGAGACTAACATGGAAGATGTGGAATAAACAAGCAAAAGTGATACCAGCGGTGCTCAATGCCCAATTACCACTAGCAGCTTGAAACTTCTCGATAATATCTGCAGAACTTTATATTTATTTATTTATATTCATTTGTATCTTATGAAGTTGCAAAAGAATGACATTATGTTGCCAATTCATGAGCATTATATAATCATTTAACTTGTAAACTGAATGCAATAGCAGGAAATGACATTGACTTCTGCTGCACACAGATTTCAGACACTTAAGAGATATGACTTCCACTATGGAATCCTGCCTGGGGATTGGCTGTCCTGGTTCATCTCTTCTGTTTTTTGTCTTAGTGACCCCATTCCAATAATCACCCACAGTCTTTCTTATTATTCCCTTCTATCTGAAATGGCATCATAAAAACCTGAATACCAGCCATTCAGGAATGTGAGAAAGAGAAAAATGTGCCAAATCAACACCTACGAATGATGCCTTCTTTTTCATTACAGAAGTTTGCAGGAAAGTAAGATAAAATGCCTACTTGAGGCAAATGTACGAGAACTTAACGAATCAGCAAACAGAAAAGACACCTCAAGAAGAATAATTTCCAGTAATCAGCTAACATACGCAAACAAGGTTGAGTAAGTTTTATGCAAACTGATAAAGACGGACCTCAACAAACTTAGTCACAATTTCATTAAATATTGAGATGATAGCTGATCTCTCTGTAACCAAATGACAGGTGGATAACTTCTAACAGGCAAAGGTCAAATATCTGAACCTAATTATAGAATGGAAGTGGCCACAGATAACAAAGAACACCAGGTTATTAGAAAATGTATTATGAGTATGAAGCTGAGATACTGTGACATATTTTCCCAAGGCTAGAACTGTGAAGCCAGCAGACAGCAGTTGCTGGGGAATGACTCTGTAAACACACCTATTATTAGGCAACAGATTCTTATCACACAACATTACAGTAAATGGGATGTGGTGTTCTCTGCGTGGTCTGTGTGATAGCTACATCATGCAATGGTGTTTCCTGTGCAGTAAATTCTGAGGTGTTATACTCGTAAGTAGGCCAAGTCTAGATTTTAGTTATTTGTGAAAAAGTCGCTGGCCAGTAAGGACACAAACACAGAAGATGAAGATGCTACTTGTTGGAAGCCGTTACCAGGTGATGAGTGCAAATACAGCAATCATGAACCAAATACATAAGGGATAAGGAAGCCAAGAAGAATCATGTCAACTATAAAAGGGTTTCATTATTATTTATTCTGGGAAAAATGTTTTTGGGGTGCTGGCTAGCAGAGCAGGAGACTAGCTATTAAATCATATTGTTCAGATATGATGTGTTAAGAGAAGAGGAACTTCAGTTGATAAACATTCCATGATTCAGGCAACAGAAATGCCTTATGGTTTAAAATTTAAGGAGCAGAAACAGTGAAACACCTTCTTTCAAACTGCACATTTTTTTCCGCAGCGGTGTTCATTCTCCAAGTGCTACCACCGCTCCCTCCTTAAGGTAAGCTCATCCCGAACGGTTCCCTTATAAGGTTCCAGTTAGTCCAGGCTACACCATAGTCCAAAAGTTTTTCTTTTTTTCTTTCTTTCCACTCCTGAAGTGGCTGGTGCTCCCACATCACCAGCATTTACTCAATTTGTAGCCTCTGTTTCTTCTCTGGAGGGGGCTCACCCCTCCACAATGTCCATTCCATCATTCTTCATACCCCACTGGAAGTTCTGACTACTTGTTTCACGATCTTCAGTCCAAAAGCCTTCCTGTTGAACTCATTTGATGTCCTCTTGATCATAAAGACTCAGCTGTGATCTTGTGGCTGGGTTCCCTATTTGCCTGCTGCCTCGTAGCTGCTCTCTTAGGCCTCGGTCCCTTACGCCATTGTTGAATTCCGGGTCATTCCAACATATTTTCCCAAACGTCCATCCTTTGTGGGTTTCTTGTACCACATCGTCTTGGTCGTATCCCTTGTGACTGTCTCCCTGTGCCATGCCACTTTTGTACTGTGGGTCATTCTCCTGCTGACTGTTGCCAATTCTTTCCACAATCCACAATTTCCCTGGGTCCAAATTTTCCTGAAGACGTTTCTCTTGCGCCATGCCATTGCTGCATGATGGGACATCTTTCTGCAGGTGGCAGCCAATTTCCTGCAGGATCCACAATCTCCTAGGGTCAGTTCCTTTGGCTCTCCGCATTGTACTGCAGCTAGATGTCGGCCTATGTGCCAATTCTTCATGGTTCCTGAAGATTTCACTGCAGCCTCTTCCATAGGTGCCCCCACCACCCCCGATGTTCCACTTTGGATTTCATGTCTTCTGGATTTACCTCCTTACTGTCCAGACATGTCTCTGTCATTACTTGACAGGATATCATCTCTTCCTGCCAGGCATTCATATTGGTTTCCATCTTCTCGTCTAGCATGGCTTTTGTTTTTGCTTGAATGGCTTTCATTTTTGCTCAGATGCCTTCTGTTTCTGCGTCCAACTTTTCTAGGGTGGTGTCCATTTTGGCATTCATTTCGGCCAGCATGGCCTTTAGGAATTCCATGTTTTCCATCTCTGTCGGATGGCACTGACAGGTGCCAAGTAGTAAGAAGTGTCTGATTCCCAGCAATATTTCTGGCATCTCAAAATGTGACAAATAGTAGAAAAAACATCGCAAATTCTGATGAGAACGAATTGCTGGACACAAATGAAAAAACTGAAAGTGATTTCTGTGATGAGGAAGATGATGTGTCGTTAGCTGACTGTGGAGATAATGATGGTGATGAGTGTGTGAATGACCATTTTCTGTTGGGTGATATCGACCATTATAACAGACTAAGTGAAGATTTTACTGGAATGTGTGGACCTGAAAATTGTGCATAGGATGTAACTGACACTGTGCATATATTTGATCAATTTCTAATATGGATCTGGTACAGAAAATTGCAGATGAGTCTAACAGCTATGCACAGCAATTCAGAAATTCTAGAGGCAATATTTTTTCTGAGCAGTCCAGAGTAAATTACTGGCAGTCCGTGATAGCAGAAGGAATTGTTCATGCTTATAAGGATCGTAGAGAAGCTGAGTGTCAGACTGTACTTCTTATGAATCAGTTAGTACCCATGTCCATTTTTGCTGTCATTTCCCTGGATAGATTTTGAAGCATCTACAGAGCCATGAATTTCACATACCACAATTCCAATGATATAATTGAAGGGCCTCAAAAATTGTTCAAAATCTATCCTATCATCACCCACACAGATTCAAAATTCTGGGCCCTCTGCATACACCAACAAGACATTTCTAATGATAAATCACTATCTTGTGGAAGGGCTGCCTCTCTTCAAAACAGTATCTTCCACTGAAGTCATTACAATTCCATACAAAGACATTTCAACTACGTGAACCAAGTTCTGTTCACCTGTAGCCCCTTCACTGCGTATATCAGAAAGGAGACAATTTTGGATCCTCAAGTCTGTTCATGATAGTGAAATTCACCCCATCTGATTTTATTTTTGCATAAAGCTTGTTTTCGCTTATGCAACGACTATATTCATTGCACCGCAGCATAAACTGAAGTTCACACAATCTCAGATTTTGACACAAGGTTCCACTACACAATTCTAAAATTGGTACATGATGCTGTATGAGCAGAGACAGATAACTGGACCAATTGTCTATGAAAAACAATTAACCCTTAAATGTACATGGAGCAGATCCTAACCAAATTTTTGAGCAACTAAAAAATTAACACTGATATGCATTCTTCCAACATAACTTTACTATTTCAGACACCCATGTAAAGTTTGAGAAAAGTTATGAGTGGTTAGTGGCCAGCACACTCCCTCAACCTCAATTCATGTGACTTTAATTTCTGGAGAACCATTAAGCAAAAAGTCTACAAAGCAAACCCTTACACAACTGTAGAACCTTAAGATATCTAAAACCAAGTTTTCTCCATTTCCCAAGAGCTGCAACAAGTGATGGAAAACTTTAATGGAGGTGATAGGAGTGCATGTAGAAAGACAGAGAATATTTCCAGCATGTGATGGAATCCTGGCAAGTTCATTTTTTTATAGCATCAAGTGACTGTGGCTAGAGACGGGGTGTGGATTGATAACTGGATTTATTGGACACTTACGCTTGTAACTACCAATAAATATGACAGTCTCACTGGATTACGCATTCCACAGATAACTGTAACTACAGCACACATAACATATTCCCAGTCTTCACTATCCATTGTTTGGTAGCGGCCTCCAACAGCAGACATTCCCCTTCCTCTGGGCTCCCGAACTGTCCCTGGCCTCACATACCAGCTTCTCACTTCTCACAACTGCAACTCTCAACTGACTCAACTTACAAATGAACAACTAGTTCTCACTACATAGCCTAAGTAAGGACCGCACAGAAAACATCTCTTCCAGTATTGTGTTAATTCACTGTCAGGGAAAGAAATGTGTCAATGAGCTGTTCCCCAGCAACGGCTGTTGTACTGACACCTGTTTATACAGCTGTTACTTGGTAATGGGTCTCCATGTCATAATATGTTAAGGCTGTAGGTTTACTGGTTCCACTAGCAGTCCTATCTTCATGGACCTGAGGTAAGAGGACAGACCAACTATTTTGTCT